CGGAGCTGAAAAACAGGTTAGGGTGGCTGCCTTGGAGGGTGTGGGGGTGTGAGGGACGTGTTTGTGTGTGTGAGAGAGAGAGAGAGAGAGAGACGTGATCACCCGATCACCATTTGGGATCGTCCTAGCTGGCTTCCCGACGAGCAAAGCCAATGTGGGAGGGGAGCCAAATTCATTTTATGTCCACATGATTCACTTAACGGCAGCGATTCCCTTAACCACAGTCGTAAAATGGAGTGTAATTCATTTGACGACCGGCTTGTTTAACAATGGAAACGCTGGACTCCCGTTCGGGTTGTAAGTCAAGGAACACCTGCGATGCAGAGCCCATTTATGGGAGGAAATGCCTTTTAATGGATAATTCTGAAAAAAGGCTGGGGCCGGGAGAAGGGAATTCTGGGAAGCAGGAAGGCCCAGATCCTCTGCCACCCAAAACCGCTTTGGAGGATGGGCTCTGTGTCCCCGGGAGCCCCGCTATTCAGCAAGGGGCCCATCATTGCAACCAGGAGCGTTTTCTGGTCCACCTCATCTCGGGGGCTTGGGGTGGGTTCTCCCACCCGCTCCTCAAGAAAAATCAGCCATGTTCTCTGCTGGCAGGGATTCTGCCCGTTGCTACGAGGAGCTCAGCAACATTTGCTCGGAGCAGGATAACTACAGCCAAAGCCGGCAGCTCCTCTTCCAGGTAAGGCCCCACGGTGCTCTCCTCCCTGCTACCTGGCCTGCGAGTTGGGGGTACGACAGCTGTGGGGGAGGGACTGGAAATTTCCCCAGGAATTTCAGCCGGAGAAGGAACTGCGAGGGCGGAATAAATCTCTTTTGGTAGAAGAGAATGTCCATAGCCGTGATGGTGAACCTGCGGCACGCAGAGCCATTTGTGTGGGCACATGCGCCTCAGCCAAACTTACCATGCGTAGCGCCTCCCAGCTGATTTCCGGCCCGTTTGAGGCCGTTTTTGCCCTCCCGGAGGCTCGAATGAAACTCTGCAAGCCTCAGGAGGCCGACAAACAAGCCTTCCGGAAGTGCCGACGTGGGCCCACTTTCCGGCCTCCGGAGGCTGCAGAGGCTTCCCTCGAGCCTCCAGGAGGGCGAAAACAGCCTCTCCCGGGCTCCAGAGGTCCTCTGGAGGCTGAAAACAGGCACTTCCGATATTTCCTTGGGTAATTTCCTTGGCATTTCCTCAGGTGGCCAAAAAACAGGGCTTCCGGAAGTGCTGACATGGGCCCATTTTCCGGCCTCCGGAGGCTGCAGAGGCTTCCCTCGAGCCTCCAGGAGGGCGAAAATGGCCTCCCCTGAGCTCCAGAGGTCCTCTGGAGGCTGAAAACAGGCACTTCCGATATTTCCTTGGGTATTTCCTTGATATTTCCTCCGGTGGCCAAAAAACAGGCCTTCCGGAAATACCGGAAGTGCCCATTTTCAGCCTCCAGAGGACCTCTGGAGCTCAGGGGAGGCCATTTTCACCCTCCTGGAGGCTCGAGGGAAGCCTCTGCAGCCTCAGGAGGCTGAAAAACGGGCCCGTTTCGGCACTTCCAGTATTTCCAGAAGGCCCGTTTTTTGGCCTCCCGAGGCCGCAGAGGCTTCCTTCGAGCCTCCGGGAGGGCAAAAATGGCCTCTGATGGGCTGAAAATCAGCTGGGAGGCGCATGCATGCACAGTGCAGGTAAGGGATGGGAGGGGGGGTGCTACGTGCACATGCACAGGGGGGCAGGGCACATTGCATTGTGGGTACCGGCACACACGTACAAAAAGGTTCATCCCTCTATAGCTCAGGATAGGAGCGTGACTGTTTGAACTTTGGTTGTTGGCTTGTGAGGTGTTTTGTTGTCCTATTAGGTAACATCATCAGTGCCAGTGAGTGCGGTGGGTTTACTCTCCATTTACATACTGTAGAATAGCTTGCCTCGCCAGGGTGGACGGGAGTGTGATCTCCTCCTTGGCAGTTCCTTGGTATTGTTTTATCAGGGAGTGGAGTGCTTGTTAGGGATCCACCCTAGCAGAATCTGCACGGCAGTCAGGCAGGCAGGCAGGCAAAAATATGTGAGATAAACGTTTTTGTAGCTTACACTCAGTAAAGCAGATACACTGTGCTAGTTAAATAGTTTATTCCAGCAAGAGTTATAGCATAGTCAGAAAACAGTCCATATATCATACACTAATTCAGTCCGTCCGGGGATTATTCAGTTGCAAAGTCCAGTGTCGAAAAAGAGGTCAGTAAACTTACAAATATCAGTCCAGTAATATATCTCCTCGCAGTAGAGATATGAAGAAGTCAAAACTCCTTTCTTCCTCCGATGTTCAGCAACTCAGCAGCAGGGAACACGCAGTTAGCAAAACATCAATCCAGCAAACCAGCAATCGTCAGGAATCGTCAGCAGGTTCTCTTGCTCCCTCTTATGGCGGTTTCACACCACACCCAAAAATACATGCTTTGCAGTTTAAAGTGACACACACTTAAACTTACTATCGTAGTTTATATATATTATTTTACCCAAACTACGTTAGGTAACCTTGTTATTCCTAACAGTGCTGCCTTTGGAGCTTGTGAAGGCTGGCAGCAGTGACAAAGAGGAGCCTGGGGAGCCTGCGCCCAGTGCGTATGCACAGAGCTGCTCGAAGGAGAAAGCGGCTGCAGCAGCACGGGCGACTCAGGAGTAAGGCTGCAAGGGGATGGCCCCTCAAGGGAGAAAAGCCAGCCCTCCGAGATGGGATTCTTTGCAGGAGGCAAAGAAGTTCTTGCACTTCGAGTCTCGTGGAAGTTCCAGTCTATCCTGGTTTGTGTTTGGAGACTTTTGGCTTTGAATATTTCCTTGTGTTCTTGGCAGCCATGCACAACCTTGCAAAATCCCACACAACCAGTGTGATTTCCTCCTTGGCAGTTCCTTGGTGTTGTTTTACGCTCGATGGTTTGTCTGGTATTAGTCCTCGTTTATCTGAGCGTTTCCAATAGAAGTCCATCGCTGTGGCTCAGGAATGGACTGTGGAGTCCTTGGTGCTCTCCGAGTTTGGTTGTTTGCTTGCAGACGTTTTGTTACCAGACTAGGTCACACTTTCTGTTGCGGCCCCGATTCCCGAGCCTATGCTGTCAGAGGAAGAGGACCTGGAAGATGAAGGGGAGGAACTGACAATGTCTTCCTCCCCAGGACCTTCCTCCCTGGCAATGCCTCAGGTTCCATCAGACGACCGAGAGGAACAGCCTGAGATTAATCAGGAAGAAGGCATATCGGAGCAGCCCCTGACAGGGAGTCAAGAGGAAGAGTATTGGCTCGACCCCAAGCAGCGTCGTAGGGAGAACAGCAACGTAGGAGGCGTGTGAGGGTCAGAGAGTGAGCGGAGTCATTGAGCCACACCCCACAGGGGATAAAAGTGGGTGTGTTTTCTCCTTAAACTTCGTGCGGGACAAAGTTTAACCTTACTTCAGAGTTTCTTCGTGAATGATTATTTTGTGGACTAGCTTGTGATTTTCTGTGAGTAAAACTTTATTTGCTGCCCGTTCGGACTTGGCAGGCAGGACGTGGTAGAATGCCAAGAATATTATCAGTTCCAAAGAATTAACTCTGCGAAGTCCGAGCCAGCTTGCCTGCCTGCCTGCGTGTGTGTGTGTGTGTGTGTGTGTGTGTGTGTACACTTTCCTCTTTTGGGAAAGAGGAACGGCGAGACAGAACACCTTCAGTGCTAGTGAGGGTGGAGTTTGCTCTGTCGTTACACAGCAGCTGGCCCTGCCAGTTTCGGTGGGAGTGTGATTCTCTCTTCCATACGTCCTGGATTCGGGCATTGTTTTCTGCTTGGTTGTTTGTCTGGGCTTAATCCCTGCTTATCCGGGTGTTGGCTGATGACAAGGAGGAATTTCAGTCATTTTGTTTCGCTTTTTGGTTTCCAAGTAACTTTGTAACCAAATAACCACCCAACTTTTTTTGTAAGAACATAATTCAGTTGGATACAAGCGTACCGCAGCAACCCAGAACACCAGAAAAAGGAAGCAGGCTGCCTGAAAGGCATCCAGGAAAGTATCCATGATATCAATCACTCTCAGACATTTTTCTCTCCAATTGATTTATTTAGAAACAGATCTGGTAGGTCTAAAGCAACTTCCCAAAGTGAAAATATTTTCGCAGGTTACACAGAAGCCACCTTCTCTCCTCCCACTTCTACACTTTATAAATTGCGAGAAGCAATTAACTGCAACTGGAATTTCTTAATAGAACCTACAGAATAACCTTGAACTTTTCAACTCCTCCAATGCGGCAGCTGAATTTCAAAACTGACACCGCCATTTTCCACCAAAACAGATGCCATGGCAACTTTATACGCCTGACCACTCAACCCACTACAACACAACCAGCATAAGGTGTGAAAGGGGTATCCTTGCCATACGTTGAAAATATCTCAACCAAAGGACGATTACCACCAAAACAGCTTCACCATAACGCACAAACCAACTATGGTGTAGGGCCGTGTTGGCGAATCTATGCCGCGCGTGCCAGAAGTGGCACGCAGAGCCATTTTCCCCGGCATCTGAGAGGTTGCCCGGAAGAGCACCGCTGTGCATGCGTGCGGTGCCAACTGACAGCTGATTGTTGGGTATCTGGTGTGCATGCGCAGGAGGCGGAGGCCATGATCCTCTTCATGGGTTGCAGGTGTGAGATCTGCATAAGAGTTTGGACCTGCGTGTTAGGGATACACCCTAGCAGAATCTGCACGGCAGGCAAAAATATGTGAGATAAACGTTTTTGTAGCTTACACTCAGTAAAGCAGATACACTGTGCTAGTTAAATAGTTTATTCCAGCAAGAGTTATAGCATAGTCAAAAAACAGTCCCTATATCATACACTAATTTAGTCCGTCCGGGGATTATTCAGTTGCAAAGTCCAGTGTCGAAAAAGAGGTCAGTAAACTTACAAATATCAGTCCAGTAATATATCTCCCCGCAGTAGAGATATGAAGAAGTCAAAAACTCCTTTCTTCCTCCAATGTTCAGCAACTCAGCAGTAGGGAAAACACGCAGTTAACAAACCATCAAACCAGTAATCGTCAGCAATCATCAGGTTCTCTTGCTCCCTCTTATGGCGGTTTCACATCGCACCCAAAATTACATGCTTTGTAGTTTAAATGACGCACACTTAAACTTACTATCATAGTTTATATATATTATTTTACCCAAACTATGTTAGGTAATCTGTGTTATTCCTAACATTGCGTGCTAACAGATGCTAGAGACAACTTAGTGTTTTATTCCTAAAGAAGGTTTATCTTGGTTGGTGTTCTTCCAATGGACTGTCCCTAGTTATCTTCCTGAAGTTGGCAATTATCCATCCTGGTCTGTCGTGGAACTTTACTCAGTGCGGTTTGTTTTGGGTTTTGGGCTTGTTGTCGGCTCTTTGAATTTGAACTGTGTTTCTTTCCTTTGAAATGTTATTTTGAAAATAGTTTACTCTTCCACTGTGAACAATTAAACAGTGAAGCCAAGTTGAAGGCATTCAAGGACTTTTAGTTACGTTTTGGTTGTTGTTATATTTCTGATATGCTCTGGGTCATCACAGCAACAACCACAGCCTAAGAGTTCTCCAAACTTAGCAACTTTAAGGCTGGTGAGCTTCAACTCCCAGAATTCCCCAGCTGGCTGGAGAATTCTGGGAGTTGAAGTCCACCAGTCTTAAAATTGCCAAGTTTGGAGGCCTCTGGCCTAAGATAAATAGGCAGATATGCACAGGGGTTTCCAACCTGGGCAATTTTAAGAACTGGTGGATTTCAACTCCCAGGGATGATGACTGAGGGATTCTGGGAGTTGTAGTCCACAGTTGCCAAAGTTGGAGACCTTCTAAGGAAATTCTAGGGAATTCCTGCAAGGTTGACATTCAGACAAATCAGCCGCAAAGAGACGGAAACACGTTCACTCCCCGTTTGAACAAGACCGCAAGAAAGCTAAGACAGGAAAGAAAAACACCAGAAGAGATTCCCTCCAACAGCCAAGGTCCAGATAAGCAGGGATTAACCCCAGACAAACAACTAAGCAGGGAACAATACCGTAACCAAAGAAACTACAAACAGTTGCTTAAGTCAGAGATTGGATAAATAAATAAATCGACTCCCACGGCGAAAACCCACACCTGCTAGAGCACCTTATAAAGGTTTTCCTTGTACGCCCTGTCCAACGTTATACATTTGCGTTTCTTGGTGGGAAGAGGAGAAAGGCTGAGGCAGGTAGAGAAAGCAGCTTTGGAGGCTCCTGTGGTTGTTCGCATTTTGTTGTGGTTCACTGGCAGCAGGTGCAGATGGCTGAGGTCTTGGAGAGCGAGGACTCAGATGAGGGGCCTGCGTGTGATTCCGGGATGGGACCAGGACCATCAGGGAGTGGAGTGCTGCCTTCGGAGATTGTGGAGGCTGGCAGCAATGAGGAAGAGGCCCCCGAGGAGCCTGTGCCCTGTTCACGTGCACGCAGGCCTGATTGAAGGAAAGAGCAGCTGCAGTAGCACGGACGACTCGGGAGTAAAGGCTGCAAGGTGATGGTCCCTCCCTTAAGGGGTAAAAACCAGCCTGAGAGACCAGGTGTTAGGCATCCAGAATTGTCCACGGTAAATCAGTCACTCCGAGACAATATAATCTCCAACTGATTTATTAAGAACAGCTCTGGTATTTCTATGGCATTTCCAAACGGGAAAGTCATTTTTGCGAGTTACACCAAATCCACCTTCTCCCTCTTCTACGCTTCATTAACCACCAGAACCAATTAACTGCAGCTGGAATTTCTTAATGAGACGTACGGAATCCTCTCGAACTTTCCAGCTCCTCCACACACACCCCCTTTTCATTTTTGGCAGCTGAATCTCAGAGCTGACACCAGGATTCTTTGCAGGAAGCAAAGATGTTTTTGCATCTTGGTTGGTGTTTGGAGACTCTTTGTGTTTGAAATATTTCTCGGTAACTTTATCTCGTGTTCTTGGCAGTCTTGCGCCACCTTGGCAAGGCTCGTTCTTATCAGAGACAATGAGTTGGAAACAGCCTTTTAACCGGGAAGGAACGGAATTCGTAAAGAATCGTTAAAAGGTTTTGCTGTTACTTCTGTTTTGGTGTTGGTTTCCTTGGAACCAGGTTTGGGTCAGAACACATTGAGATAAACGGGGCTTTAACATCGGCGTTTCTGTGGTGCCCGTATTCTGCGGAGGACCAGAAAGTACGACTGCGGTATTCTCCCGGCTTGGAAGTATTGATTGTTTGCGCGCGCACGCCCCCGATCTGGGTGCCATCCCTGGGCTTTCAACTCCCATCGTCCCCGGTTGTATCCTAGCAGGGGATGATGCCTCCTTCTTGAGACCCTCGAAGGGGATTGGAAGCTGGGGGCTTGACGGTGGATCAAAGCTGGATGTATTTGCTGTGCCCCCCGCCCCCGCATTTCAGTGCTGGATTATGGGGGATCCTGTAGGCCTTGGGGGGGGCTATTGGTGTGTGTGGGGGTGTTTCCTCCCCCCCTCCCAGCTCTTCCCTTTTTGCTCCCCCAGGAAGGTGGGCCTGGAACAGCAGTGGGAGGGGCCGAACTCCCCCATCGCAAGCATCAGCGGAGGCTGCTGGAACAACGCCCATTGGTGAGGGGAGGGGTCTGCTCTCAAGGAGGGGGGCTGGTCTTGGGGAGGGGACAGGGGTCCCCCCCCCGTGGTCCTTAACCTCCGGGCGTCCCTGCAGGGCGTGATTCCCTACCTGGGCACCTTCCTGAAAGACCTGGTGATGCTGGATGCGGCCACCCCCACCCGCCTGCAGGTGAGTCCCGCGGGGGGGAAGAGCCAGGGGGGGCTTTGCTGCCCCTCCCCCAGCAAGGGGGCTTGGGTGGTAGAGGGAGTGGTCTGAGGGCTGCCGTAGGGGTGGGGGGTGGGGCTGGAAGCAGCAAAGCTGGTGCATTTGTGCGAGGCTGAAGGTTGTGTGCGCGTCCGGATGGTTCTCAAGTTACAACCCTCTCTTAAAATTCGGAGATACGACGGCACTGCAAAAAGTGAATGCGGATCGGTTCTCACACTTGCGACCAATGGTTCACTTTGCAACTGGAGTGAACTGGGACCAAAAAGGGTCCAACCAAGGGGACAGAATTCACTGAACTGCCTTGGTTAGTAACGGAAAATTGGAGTTCCGTTGCGGTGTTAAGTCGAAGGATACGTGTGTGTGTATATGTGTGTGTGTGTAGCATTGGGTCAGCCTCTTCCAAGGGGGCCTACGGAAGCTTTTCCCCCCCTGCTTGGTTGGTGCTGTGGATTATGGGAACAGAGGGGTGGCCGGCTGGGGAGAACAAGATCCAGAAGGTCTCAGCTTCCAAGACTTTGGCCCTCCTTCGAACGGCTCAGCGGAGGCGGGAATTCGACTGATGAAGCGTCTTCACTTCACTTCACGCCACAATCGGGTAGGCCGGAGATCTCCAACCTTGACCCCTTTAAAGACTGGTGGACTTCAATTCCCAGAGTTCCTCAGCCAGCTGGCTGAGGAATTCTGGGAGTTGGAGTCCACCAGTCTTAAAGGGGCCCAGGTTAGGGACCCCGGTGTAGGCGACACAGTTGAATCTGACCAATTGAGCTGGTTGCCGCCCGGCCCAAATCCTCTTTGTGTGTGTGTGTGTGTGTGTTGTGCAGGCGGTGGGGCTCAACGGTGTGGCAGAAGCAGCTTCCTGTGTGCCTCGCAGTCCTTCTCTGAAATGGGTACAATCTTGGGGGGTGGGCTTGGATGCAGATGGGCCCGGGGGCTGACCGGACACCTCTCATCTCTCTCTCTCTCTCTCTCTCTGCAGACCAGCGGCTACATCAACTTTGAGAAGCACCGGAAGGTCAGTGCTGAGTGTGTGTGTGGGGGGGTGGAGTAGGGCAGGGGTCTCCAACCTTAGCAACTTTAAGGCTTGTGGACTTCAACTCCCAGAATTCCTCAGCCAGCCGCGTCTGTTCCTTCTTCTCCTCTCCTCTCCAAAGACGAGAGAGTGCAGTGGAAGGGATTGCAAGAGAGTAAGCTTTGCTGGCTGAGGAATTCTGGGAGCTGAAGTCCACCAGCCTTGAAGTTGCTAAGGTGGGGGCCCCTGCAGTTAGGGGTCCCCCCTTGGCCCCCTCCCCCCCTTGGAAGGACCCCCCTGCTCCCCCTCTTTCCTCTGCCTCCCCTGCAGGAGTTTGAGATCCTCACCCGGCTGCGCCTCCTGCAGGCCAAATGCCGCAACTACGCCTTGGTCCCCGACCGGGCCCTCCAGCGATGGCTGCAGTGCCTGCCCCTCCTCAGCGAGGCCCAGAGGTGAATGGGGGGGGCTCTGGAGGGGGGGTGAGCTGCACCTGGACATCTCCCCTGTCCTCTCCCCCTTTCCGACTTACCACCCTCTCTCTCTCCCCCTTCCAGTTATCAGCTGTCTTGCACCATTGAGGCCCCCAGCGAGGGAGGGGCTCCCCCCAAGCCCAGCAAGCCCACCTTGGTGATCACGCGCTGCACAGAGTAAGGACCGGGAAGGGAAGGGTCTATGGGCGGGGGTCTCTACCCCCTCCCCAATTTCCCACTCACCCCCCCGTCTTTCCTCTCCAGCTTGATCACCTCGCTGGGAGTGAGTGCCCCCCTGCCCTGGGACAGAACTGGCTCCCCCCAAGTCTCGCCCAATCGATTGGGCCCTTCGTCTCCCTCCCCCACTGCCCTGGGGGGCTCTCCCCAATCAGTCCAGGTGAGTCAAGACTGCCCCTCCTTCCTCCAGACTCTCCCATTCTGCTCCTTCTGACGGCGGGGGGGAGGCTGACCCCCGAAGTGAAAAGACCTCAGAGTCAAGGGTGGCTGAGCCAACTGCCTCCCCCAAATTTCTAGTCCTTAGCATTATTTCGAAGCCAAGCCACAGAGAAGGCGGGGTTCTTCCTCTGATGGGGGTCCTGTTGGGTTCCCCCAAACTTGTACTCCAAGATCTGATGGGCTCCAAAGGGGCCCATGTTTCGTGACCCCCCCGCACGGAAGGGACTTCGCACTGTGAGTCCATCAACCTAGGCATGGCCAAAGGAGGGAGGGAGGAAGAGAAAGAGAAGAGTAAGAAAAGAGAACAAGGAGGAAATGGGGAGGGGGAGGGGAGGGGGAGGAAAGAGAAGGAGGAGGAAAAAAGAAAGAGAAGAGGTGGGGGAGGAAATAGGAGAGAGAAGGAAAAGGAGGGAGGAGGAGAAACGGAAGAGGAGGAAAAAGAAGGAGAAGAAAGAGGAAGGAGGAAGAGAAGAGGTAGAGGAGAAAATAGAGAGGAGGAAGAAGAGAAGAGGAGGAAGAAGAAGAAGGAAGAGGAATGAGGAAGAGAAGAGGTAGAGGAGAAAATAGGAGGAGGAGGA